TCCGAGACCAAACCTTTCGAAGCACGTTCATAGGGTTTAGGGTTTAGGGTTTGGGGTTTAGCAAGGCTTTCGGGTATTTGTTAACAACATGCCTGAGTATCCAGGCTTTAAAATGAATTGTCTTCAGGACATGTCAACGCGTGATCGACCTGGGCCTCGACACGGGTTTTTGGTTTAGGGGGTAGAATAATGGTCAAGAACCCATGAGAAGAATCAAAGCACTTTTAGTCTACGTACTGTGAAGGATCCAGCCTTCTCTGAAGCCTCTGGCCACCAACACTAGATTAGATCTTAAACCCTGGACTTTAAAATCTAAACCCTAAACCCCTAAACCCTCCTTACATCCCTAACAACCCTGAAAACCGGAAACTTAACATTTTCAGATTTCAGGACTTGGAGCGAGCTCGAACCTGGCTGGGCAACGCCAGCAGCTCGACGGCCCTGACCTATGAGCCAGGCACGGTTCAGGGTTTAGGGTTCAGGATGTAGGGTTTAGGGCTTTGGATTTAGGATTTAGGGTTAGGGCTCAGCGTTTAGTGTTCAAAGTTTGGGGTTGAAGGATTCAGGGTTTAGGGATGGGCGCGGGATTTGAGATTGGACTTAGGGTTCTAAACAGTCAAAATAAAGTTTTGGGGGAATATCCACTATAGTGATAGACAAGGATTGTCAGGGAACAGTATTGGTAATTAGTATGATTCAGGCGTCTACACCTTTGTGCTGGGTTTCGGTTCTGAGTTTCGGGTCCAGGCTTTTAAGGTTCGGATCTCGGGTTGAGGGTTTGAAGCTCAGCGTTTGGGGTTTAGGACCCTTCGGGGACTCGGGGTTTGGCACTTAACTGGGTTGCTGTTAAGGAACTTAATTTAAGTTACTGAATTGGGGGAACCATATTAGTTACTATATATACCCATTATGGTAACTTAATTTAAGTTCCTTAACAGCAACCCAGTTAATGTTGCGGCTTGGGGCGGGTTAGGATTTTGAGCTGATTAGAAAGAGCATGTTATAAAAGGGTACACTCCCGGAAACGAACATGGAAACCCAAAAAGGGCCCCATAAAGACTACAGTCTTTCTAAAAGGGGGCTATATGGGTTTCCATGTTAGTTTGGGGGAGTGTAGTCTTTGGTTCTTGGCTTGGCCTGCCTATGCATGCTAGTAAAACCCTGGTTATCGTGTAGGGTTCAAGGTTGAGGTAGCTAAACCCTAAACGCTAAACCCTAAACCCTAGATCATGTAGCAGGCCTATGGCTCCGGACACTGCAGTGCCGTTGGAAGCACTGAATTGCTTCAGCAAAGATGGGTTGTAGCAATAGAGACAAGGACTATAGGGTGTGTTCTAGGTCTAGGGTAGTGGGACGATTTGGCAATGTTGAACACATCGACACATTTTCGGAAACATCTCATGGATCCAGTACCTACTAAGAGAAACTAGCCCGCGAACCCTACACCCTAAGCCTTGAACCACCTTGACCCGTCAATTCTACGACAACCTGTCTCTAGGTTGCAGTGATCTGGTTTGGGCCTCAGGGCATTTCATAGCGGGGAGTCCAAAACTGCGTGTGGGAGAACTCCTATCCAGTAAGGGTACCTCACCCCAGCGATAAGCACCCCAGTGAACCCTCTCACAAGCTCCTCATTACAAAAGAGATCCTCTCAAGAATTCTCTTTATGGACCCCCAACCCTAAACCCCACGCAGCAACAGTTGGATGGCAATTATGTTTGAACATGTACATAATATGCACAAGCCCAATGACATATACAGCCGCCTTGATATTACACCCATCATAGACGGCATCTTTGGAATGCAGGTACACCCTACACTCTAAACCTTAAGCCCAGCACCCTGGGTTCTACATAAGCTGGGTTGCTGTTAAGGGACTTAATGTAATGTACCATATTTGAGAAAACCATATCATTTACTACATATACCCGTTATGCTAACTCAGTCTAAGTTCCTTAGCAGCAACCCAGCAAACTGGGGGTTCAAAGTTCAGGGAATCCCAAGGAGCTGGCGAAGAAAGCACCAACGAGCCTGGGCGTGCGCATGCTCAGGGTTCAGGGTTCAGGATTTAGGAGTAGAGATTTTACGGGTGGGGTTTAAGGTGTACGTTCAGGGATCAGAGCCCCAAACCCTAAAACGCTAAAGCCTACGGCGTAGACCCTAAAACCTTCAAACCCTAAGCTCTAAAACTCTACACCCTAAACCCTCAAGCCCTAAGGGTTCAGCGTGCACTATGATCAGGGGCTTAGGGTTTGGGGTTTCAAGCCGGCAGGGGTCATGGGAGTCAAAGGGCTTCCAGGAGTCTACAGCAAATAGATTTTATAGGTTGGTGGGTTTGGCGTTTAGGGTTTCGGGAGCCCTGTAGAGGAGGCCTGCTAAACGATCTGTATATTCCTCTTGTGGATCCGTTAGACAAGTCAATACTACCCGTGGGCCTGCGTAACCATGCACAAAATCAAACCCTAAACCCTAAACTAGGCAAGTTGGGGCTGATGGTTTAACGTGCAGGGTTCTAAGGTTTAGGGTCTAGGGTTTTAGAGTCTTGGGGCCACGTTTTTTTAGGCTTTTAAGGCTTTAGCGTGAGGGTTTAGTATCTGGTTTGCCCTGAACTGCTGGAATTGTGTACTAGAATTATAGTCAAACTTGAACCTCTTTATAAACCCTAAACTCTAAAACACTGAACACTGAAACCCGTAAACCGAAGCCCCCTTGACTCAACTGGATCTCCAAGTAGAACTTAACTCAGCCGTTTTGGCACGGGGTTCACGTTGGCCGAATCGCATCTTGGGAAATGCCAAAAGATTGTTTAGGTTTAGGGTTTAGGGTTTAGGCCTCAGGGTATAGGGTTTGAGGGTTTCAGGGTTTCAGGGTTTGAGGGTTTAGGGCTTAGGGGTTAGGGTTTGGGCGTCGAGGCTCAAGGGTATCAGCAAAACTGAAAAATCAGAATTGCTCAACCAGTTGTGCCCTGGGGACAGAAGGGATACATACCGATTCTACGGCGCCTCTGGGGAGCCATTCTTTGGGATTATGTACAGGTTGTTTGAGGAATACTAAAATCACCATAGAGCCCCAATGTAAAGCAAGCCTTGAGAAAGGGCCCTTAAGAATCATACTAGGTGTGCTTGATCCGCGCCGGGGCAATTCGCCCTCGAAATGCCAGACGCTTACTAAGGATTGAAACGACAAAAGCGAAAGAAATTTACCAGGGTTTAAGGTTTAGGGATATATCTCCTCGCAGAGTGAATTGTGCAACAGGATATGCGACCAGCCAGCCCCATTCATCACACAAGAATCATGTAGAAGCGGATAGAAGTGTAGCACAAGATAGCCCCAAACCCTATTCGGATCGAACAAACCCCTGTACTACGCTCTCTATATCACCCCACAGCTTCCATTTCATGTTGCTGCTCTTTCTGAATTGCTTCTCGACCTCCCTGCCATCACGCCACCCACCTGCCCGCCTTTCTGCCTCCTACTGATAGATGGAATATGATTGTTGGGTATCTGTTGTTTGGGAGGGGACCCTAAACCCTAAAACCTAAACCCTAAACCCTAAACACTATTCCCTATTCCAGCGGGGGGCCTAGGCATCTGCATTATCCAGGAGACCATGCATTTCCTTAACGTCGACCATACTTCTGGAGTTCCTCGTGTAAGTCATGGTCATACTGGGCAGTGGTTTCTGATATGAGCTCTAGCCTAAACTCCTAGTATCCCCCTTAATAACCCCTATAGTAGTTCCCTGTATAATCCCCTATATATCCCCCCCTCTTTAAGGAGTTTAGACTATGGCTCATGTAGCAGCAATAACTTTGAGATGTCTGACATGAACCCTAAACGCTAAAGCCATGAAGCCCAAAACCCCCGCACCCTAAACCCCTAAACCCAAACAGTGCTTCCGGTGTTTGCAGGTCCTTAGCTGCCCTGCATCCATACCTTTCCCAAAGAGAACCTAACCCAAAAAGAGGACGTACCTTATAGCCATTCAAGATTTTTTGAACAACTACCACATGAGCTAGTAAAAACTCCTAGTATCCCCCTTACTACCCCCTATGCTACTCCCCTATACAATCCACTATGTAACCCCCTTAAAGGAGCCTAGACTATCGCTCAATGGCTCGCATAGAGAATTTCTGCTGCGCAGAAAATATAGCAAATTTTCAAGTGGAGAAATTCCAGTCTGGCAAACTTAATTCTGGGAACATGGGGAGAATGGGACTTTCAGACAAACTTCCCATGAAAATTGTGTAGGGGAACTTAGTGTTTACCCTCAACCCTAAACCCTGGGGTTAAGGTTGTAGGGTTTGGGGTTTAAGGTTGGAAGGCTACCCGGAGGACAGTTAAGGGTTTCGGGTTTCGGGTTCGGGGTATAGAGTTAGGGCGTACGGCTTTGGGGCAGGAACCAAGAAAGCATGGAACACTAAACCCCACACCCTACTGTTCATGAACAAAATCGTACATGACCCTAAGAACATCACACCCCTAAAGCCTAGACCCCTAGCGTTTAGGTAGATAGGGTCATCCAGGAGTTCTCAGGATCAACCCTGAGGGCAAGCCTGACAGCACCCTGCCTGACAGCACTCTGCCTGAGGAAGAGCCATTAGAATAATGGAAAAGCAAATGGACAAAAAATAAAATACGAAATGAAAGCTGAAATCATACATAGATTTATAGGGATTGTACCATAAGGGCATGTTTAGATACAGTGTTGCAGTACGTATATTATACTACACTTGTACGAGGATTGCAAGGGATTGCAACTGGTAATTATTCGCTTCTACATTGCCCATATTATCTCTCATTTGCTTTTCCATTCAGAAATAACACAAAATTATGGCATTAAACCCTGAACCCTAAACCCTAGACCACGAACTCTTTCTACTTCGCGAGTTTCAGGTCATGGCACCATGGCAGTAACCTGAGCTAGGCCACTACCATTCTGTACACTGTACAAGGTTTTGATGCAGAGAGTTTAGGGTTTAAAGCCACCAACATTAACGTCATGACCAGCCGTGTCTCCGCGGCTCTCTCATCCGGCCTTCCATATAGCTTTCCGAGCCGCAGTGAATACAAATCTGATCATTGTAGCCATTGTTAGAAAAGCACATGATTTCATGTTGCCCCTGAGCGCATAGTTCTGGATCACGAATGCATACTGTGATCGAGTCGTCGCAACCCAAATCACAAAGGTCGAAGGGCTGGGAATGCCACAGACTTTTACCAGAGTTGGTGATCAGCGACACAGCGGTAGCACGAATTTTCTTGCTTCCTGCAATCGCTTCTCGCAAATCTTGGATGCCAACCAGCTGAGCCGGCGAAGCCTCCATATGATAGTCGACTGCTTCTCCGCTGATGTAACTCACCCGCACACCACTTTTTAAGAGTTCATGGATGCAGGGAGCTAACTGCACAGTGACCGTGAACTTTTCTGGAAACTTCTCTGGATTCCACTCTTTCAGCTCTTTCTCTTCCCAAAGGAAGCGCACAAATCCTAGGTTGCTGTCGAGGAACTGATATGCACTTGGCTTGTGAAGAATCTTATTTATTGTATATCAATACTAACGCATCTCAATCCCAAGCCCTACAAATACAATCCCCACGTAACCCTATATGACCCCATAGTGTGGCAATGCAATCCTAAACCCTACCCCCTACACCCTACATCTCTAAACCCTACACCCTAAACCCTAACTGAACGTAAAACCTGGGCAATTTCCACAGAGAGGCGGATCCCAATATACACCCTCAAGGTAGCACCAGTACAACTCTAGTTATACGGACTGCCGAAAGTAGGTCCCTTTTGGAAAATGAGCCCTAACCCTGAACTCTAAAGCCTAAACTGTAAACCCTAAACCCTAAAACCTAAACTCTAAACCCTAAACCCTCTATAGCCCTAGCCCCTACAAAATGTTAAGCTCCTTAGCAGCAACCCAGAAACGGCCTGGCCGGGACGTATCCCGGCCGATGATGTCGCAAGCCTGGGACCTGGCTCTGGTTGAGGGTTTAGGATTTAGGGTTTAGGGTTTAGGATTCAGGGTTTAGGGCTTAGGGCTTAGGGTTTAGGGTTTAGAGTTTAGGATTTAGGGCTTAAGGTTGGGGACTTGGAAGGGTTTAGAGCGTGTCATGCGTTCCACGTAAACCACCACGGAAGGCGTGAGTTGTGAGCGGCTTACCAGGGGGCGAGAGGCAAGGAAACTAAACCCTAAACCCTAGCCCCTAAACCCTGTTACGGGCTCCCTTGGACGGTCTCTTACAGTTCCTCATGGAGTATGGAAGGCCAGTTATAAGGAGCCCCCCTTACGGACTTGCAGGGCAAGCGTTGGAGGGCTGTAGAACCCACACAGGACCTCCAAGAGGAGACAGGGGCCCCTTTGATACAAGGAAGGGCGGCTTTTTGAAGTCCAGGATATTTCTGGGTTTAGGGTTTAGGCTTCGGTTTCATTACGAGACACCTCTAAACTCTAAACCCTAAACCCTAAGCAAACCCTAAACCCTAAACCCTAATCCTATTTTCAACAATGCGCCAGGGTGCAAGGTCTGAGCTTCTGAAAAGTCGGAGTTGCATCTCTTGCCATCCTCAGTTCTCCGGTTAGACTTTAAGGAGTTAGGGCTTTTAGGGTTTAGGGTTTTAGGGTCTAAGGATGTAGGGATTTAGACTTTAAGGAGTTGCGGGTTTAGAGATTTTAGGGATTTTAGGGTTTAGGGTATTTAGGGTCCAGTATTTAGAATCTCTTGGGGTTGAGGTTTGGAGTTTGGGAGCTTCTGGATTTAAAGTTTCGTTGGGGCTTAGTGCATTAGCGAATGCAGTTTCTATGGAACCCAAAAGTCACAAATTGCGGACATATCTTTTGCAAAAAAGGCAGGAAAGCAACCTTAAACCCAGCATCTGGTCCCAGAATGCTGAGCCGCTCAGAAGCCCACCATTCCGCTAAGGTTTCAGTCAACCTCACCTGGGTCAGAGCGATTCCGTTTTCATGCCTAGGCTTTAAGATATGAGCTACTGTCTAAACTCCTAGTATCTCCCTTAATAACCCCTATAGTAGTCCCCTATATACTCCCGTATATAACCCCCCTTTAAGGAGTTTGGACTACAGGTCATATAGGGTTTAGGGAACCGACCTGGATCACGCCGCTTTCCATCTGGAAGGGAACATATGCCCTGAGCTCCTCCAGGCTTCCATCATTTTCGCGCAAGTGAAGTGCAATGTAGCTCGAAGGTCGGCGGGTCTGAATAGCCAAAAGGCTAAAGATGTCACCTGGTGGTTTAGGGTTTAGGTTTTAGGGGGGCTTTGAGGTTCAGGGTTTAGGGCTTAGGGTTTAAAGTAGCCATATCAGAACGTGAAATTTCGCTCATTGGGGTTCTATAGGAATCACCGTATGGGCTGAGGTCGTCATAATTTGGCCAGTGTCACCAACGCATTTGGCATCACGCAGGTCGATGTCACGTTGCTTCCCATCCTATACTCCCATCGCAAGGTAGCGCAAAACTGGTTTTGTGGATCCCTTTGAAAGATGCCGGTAACCAAATGGAGAATAATCTTACTATAGGGGCCTAATTTTTCACCAAAATCATATCGAAATCTATTTGAGGACTACAATGCTAGGAGGAAACTGGGTGTCCAAGAAAAAATGAAGCCTTAAACCTTAAATCCTAAACACATCGCTCAGAACGGACGTCTTGCCGCACTTCCGAAGGTTTCAGCATATGGAAGAAGGCTAAAGTGTTGGAACTCGCAGTGATTCTGAGAGTGGCTGATGGGACCCTAACCCTAAACCCCTCCCCTGTCTTGTTGCTTTTCCAAACACGACGACCAGCTGGCATACGTCCCAAAAATGAGCACAGTGCGTCTTTGGTGTGAGTTTGCTTTTTGTTGTTGTTGTTGTTG